GTGTGTGTGTGTGTGTGTGTGTGTGTGTGTGTGTGTGCACTGCCTCAGGGTGAGGCAACCACACACTGGTGTCTCGTAGTGGTGCTTCATGCTGCTGAATTCTTGAGCATCGGCCTAAATGAAGAAATAGTTTGTTAATGAAATATAATTTCCTCAGCTGTATCTGTTATTCCTAACTGTAAATTATGTGTCGTAGCTGTTCAGATGAAACTTTATGTTTTGAATCATTCCTCAGCGCCTTGAACTCCTGTGAAACACAGATATCTGACACATGCCAGAGGAGCATATTGCACCACTGAATTCTTGACACAGTTGTCATTGTTGCCTGGAAGGCATTTGACTTCAGCTAAGAGCATTGTTTATACAGGGCTCGTCTCATTCTCTTTGGGTTTTACTTTCTTGTTGCATTGTACTGTAACAAGCTGTGGCTGCAGTGAGGTGAAATGCTTTAATGCTGCTCAGTAAAACTAAATTTTCCACCTGGATTAAAATCTTGAAGCCCTAAAAACTACAAAGCCATTCCTTCATGGCGTATCGATGGGCCCAGGTAAGTTAGTACCTTCCTGTTTGAGTGATAATTAAAAACCTGTAGGTTAAATGTAAGTTTAGAGCAGTTTCTGTTTTGGAAATTGCATCAAATTCTTTTTTAAACCCAGCTGTGTTTGTAACAAAACAACAATGAAGTCTGTTTGGCTTCAGTAAGTCTAAAATAGTAGTTCTGTACTTTTTTTTTTGACTCTGCTGTCCCTATAGGCAGGTTTCATCACTGACCAACGCAGAACTATGTTAAAGTCATTTAGAATGTGTTGAAAAAGTATTCACCCCACTTTTCAAGTTGGATTAGTTCTTTGTCAGATGTTTTTCATGTTTCAATCACAAACTTCAAGTATTTTACTGGACTTTTATGTGACAGATGAACACAGTGTAGCACATAAATGTGAGGTGAAAATAAAAAATCAAACAGGATTTTCTTGACCTTGTGGGTCATTTTGACCCAAGGGCAGCAGGAGGGTTAATTATAATAATTATAATAAATCCCACCTGTGAGAAATTCAGTTTCAGTATAAGTCCAGGTGCTTTGTGAAGGCCACAGAGGTGATCTTTTACAGAACATTAGTGACCAACAGGGTTGAGAATAATCATTTCATGTGCATTTAATCGTCAGAAAAACATTAATCGATTATTTTTTGCACTTGATGATAAATATGATTAATGCCACCAGGTCAGTCCGCTCAATGCTCCTCTTCAAATATGACGAATATTAACAATAGATCTGTAATGTATTTATCTATCAACACAATTTAAAATTTGATGCATAGCCTGAAGTCTGAAAATTTGACACAATTTGGAACAGATTTTTACAAAGAGATTTTTTCTTCCCCAGTAAATTGGTCATGTGACTAGGACACAACTCCAGGGGATTAATCAGCAAATTAATCATTATTGGCTAAATACCACAATTAATCGTGATTGATTTTTTTTCCCAATGTTGCCCAACCCTGGAGACCAAACATTACAAAGATCAAAGAACACATCAGACAGGTCAGGAGTAAAGATGGGAAGTTTAAAGCAGAATTAGTTTAGAAACAATATCCCAAAGTTTGAACGTCTCACAGCCCTATTCAATCCTTCATTTGAAAATGGAAAGAGTACGGCACAATCCAAACCTACCAAGACAAGACAGTTGTGTACTTCACAGATCTGGCCTTCATGGAAGAGTGTTAAAGGGGCGATATTATGTGCTTTCCAAGCCAATATTTCAATTTTATTCTAAAATAAAGTAACTATGTCACATTTTCAGCTTATGAAGGAGCTATATATTTGTAAAACCCCCAAAACAATTTACTCCTCATCTTGACAGTTTTTAAACGCCTTGAAATAGGTCTCTGTCTCTTTAAGAAAATCCATCCACTTCGGTCACGCCCATTTCAGCACGTAGCCTGCCGGAGT